ATTCTATTTTCTTCCCTTTTATTATTTTTACCATCACTTTTATATTTCATTAATCAAAAAGACCAAAAATATTTTCTTAAACCAATATTTTCTTTTCCTAAATGAAACTAATATTTTACATTTCCTGTACATTCTTATCCATTCAATATGGTTGTAATAAGTAACTTAGAATTTAATTTTCAATCCCCATTTGAAAATTTTTACACCCCATCCCCCTAATGATTGTAATAGCGTAGAATCTTTATTTTATGTACTTTTATTGCTTTCATATATTGTTAGTAATTACGGTGTGTATGGAAAGACTAAAACCAATGTTTAGAAAACCCTAATTCAAGACAAATTATGCATGCAATCAAATACACTTGCACACTTGCACCCCTAGGGTTGTTCCACTTGTTTCCTTACAAAAATGGTCATGTTATGCATGTGGGATGTCTTAGCATAAACAAATCAAAATACAAGATCATAGTCCCTCAATGACCTTATCAAAGTTGCCTTTCGAAATGATCTTAGTCCCTAAAGAAAAAATGCTAAATCATCTCACAACATTGCTATCATGGTTATACAATGACCCGCGTCTGTCCCTTCACATCCAACGATGGGGCTTCTTACCAAATCAATGGTAAGATAGCCACATCTAAAGGAGGAGGAAAAGAACACCTAAGACCTTTTTAGTAGGTAGATTTCTCCTAATTATTTTCTCAATTTCAAAACAAATATCCTTGCTATTTTCAAAATCAATCACATACACTTTCAAAAACATCTTCAAAACATTTTCCAAACATGGAATATTTTCAAAAGCTCAACACTTTATATAAGTTCTTACGAACGAGAACTATTACAAAGTTTTCCTAAATGATGGCACCTTTTCAAAATACTTTCAAAAACCACACAAAGCACATTTTTCAAACAAAAGCAAGTGATCTAGCAATTAACTAAGAGCCCATGGAAAACCATGGATGAAAAGGGTTCTAACACCTTCCCTTTTCATAATCTACCCCCCGAACTCAAGAAAACATCTCTAAAGGTCTTTCCTGTGCTTTTTCACCTTTCCTTTTGGATAAAAGAAAAGTCGCTGGTGACTCTTACTAAATCACAACATTTGCAAACACAAACGCAAACCTTCAAGTCAGTTCTCCCACCGTATCACAGAACTGGCGACTCTGCTGGGGAAATTCTAAAAGTGGGGTTACCTTAGGGTTATATCACATTTACTTGCTTACATTGTTTGATTTGTTTGCTTTACATTATGGTTCCTTGTTTGGGTTTGTTTTAAATCCTACACCCGGATTTGGGGACACCTTTTATGTAAGTAGCAATAAATTGTGAGGGAACTGTGCGGGGTATACTGACACGGTTGAAGCAGTAGCTACGTTGATGTGGCACTTTGGTTGGTACCCATAACCCTTGAGTTAATCAAGGAGAGTACGGGGCCGCCGCATGGCGTCGTGAAACATCAACTAACCTTAGAACCTTACTTGACCAACTTGGCCATTAGGAAGTAGTGAGATAACCGGCTTTGGTGCAGTCCGAAGTTGGTTGATACTCGATGCTACACTCATTAAGGTTTGACTCTTGAGTTTTGTTTGGTTGCGAGTCAATCGCCTATTGAACGAAACTTGGGGGAAAGATCAGTGATATTGAGATCCCTTAGAACAAGGTTACTATTAACTAGGACAGGTTAAGCCAACTAAACTTCAAGAGGGTACTTACCTATAAAACCTCATGCAAGCCTAAAACTAAGGATTTGTTTGCTTTGTGTGAATATGATTATTTGTATATAAACTTGCTTACCTCGCATATTTGTACATAACATCATAATATCATACCATAGCATTTTAAATAACATTGAACCATAGCATTTCAAGGATCTCGAGGGCCTATGGTGCAGGGTCACGTTGAACCAGACGTCTACCAAAGGGGCAAGGGGATTTATTTTCCTCTAACCAAAGGCCGTCAAAATCAGGTACAACAAACTAGAGTCAAAGGCTACAACCCACTTGACATGGTGAGCTTAATTCTCGTGGAAGGACATCCACCGATACAAAGTTCTCCAATCCAAAACTGTAAGTGACTACTTACCCCGCGAGATCCTTGAAAACATGCATCCATATATCATGCATCATATCATGAAAGGTTTCTCCCAGACAGGTCTCCTTATCTTCCCACTGTTTATTTCAGTAGAGATGGCTCTAGAGTAGACTATCAAGGACATCCAGGCTCAAAACGATCAACTTCAAGAGATGTTCTTGAACATATCCAAGGGACAAGAAGAGGTCAAGGCGCTCCTCACCAAGGGCATGATCATGGGAAATCCTGGGGACGACAAAGATGAACAATTGGAGCAGCTACAAACCGAGATATCCGTAATGAAATTCCAGATGATGGGACAACTAGCGGGCCAGATGGCTCTCATCCAAAACTTATCACAGGGACAAGAAGAGATGAGAGTCCTCATCAACAAGCTTCGTCAAGACGGATGTAGTCAAATGGGGCAAACAGTTAGAATTGGGGATCAAGTCATCATTCAGGCTCCCATGAGACAAGAATCCAGTTTAAGGGAGAGAAGACCTTCCCAATTTGCTTCCAGGTCACAAGCCCAACAACGACTTCGTCAACATCAACAAGAAAATCAGCAAAGGCAAAGCAATCCCAAAAGACAGTTTACCAACATCAACATACCACTATCTCAAGCTTTGTAACACATGCTGAGGATGAATCTGATTACACCAATAAGACCTCATCCAAATCCCAAAACTTCTTCTCCCAGCTACAATCCTGATGCCAGGTGTGCCTATCATTCTGATAGTTCTAGGCATGATACAAATGATTGTTGGGCGCTGAAGTACTAGATTTAAAACCTGGTCGATGGAGGAATGCTGGAGTTCACACAAGATGGCCAGACTGAATTCTTCTTCCATCCCTCAAAGGCTCACCATCTAAAGTGACAAGTTCAAACAAAGAGGCTTTTGTTTCATTTGAATTGTTAAATTGTAATTTCTTTTATTGTTCAAACAATTATCTATTAATGTCAAACTTTGTTTCATTAATGCATTGCATATGTTTGTCTTGATTTGATCCATTCATTTTCATTACATTTAAACTATGTTTTTTACTCTCTTTATGGCATTCAACTCTTGCTAAAAGTGACAAGCCTTTAGAGGGAGGGTGACAAAAACAATGCCATAATCTCATACAATATGCTTTTGAACAGACCTTGCTGACGATGTACAGGCGTTTTTTCAAATCCTAAACACTGGAGTTATAAGGAAGATAATCCCTAGTCAACCTTTTCGAGCCAAAGAAGTAGAAGTTTTCTTTTTTAACACAAATTGAAACCTTTAATCAAAACCTGGGGCAGGGTAGTCTCTCAATTAATTCAAACGCGCGTTTAGCCACAAACTCTCATCTCGTAATACAACGAATGACGTCAAGAAACATTCCTCTAAAATCAAAAGACGGTGATGGTTCCCTATCACATAGGCAGTCATTATCTCTCCAAAAGAAAAGCCCACTAACTCAAAACCTACAAAGGAGACTTAAGAAAACTGAGACATCCCGCTGATTGTAACCTCAAAAGAAGAATAGTCTGTTGCAACTGGTTTTTTTAATCAGAGTCGCCACCGTTAATTTTTATCCTAAAGGAAGGGGTGATAAAGGAATAACCCTAAAATTCAGAGATTCTAGATTTGGACTCGATTCTAGACGAGGGGAAGGTGTTAGGCACCCCTCATCTACCTTGTTCACAAGGATACTAGGTTTAGAAGCATTATTTTAGAAAATAGGGCTTTTAATTGTTTATTTGGGAGAAGGATTTGAATCTTAAATAGCAGGACTCGCAACGATCTCAATCGTATGCCTACGTATCCTCCTAGGAGGAATCAGAGTCCTATTTTCTTAGTTTGCCATTTTTTTTATAGGTTGCATAAATATATCGAATTCCCCTTGAACCAGGTCCGAGTTTATAAATTGTGGAATCACAGACGTAGCTCGCAGTCGATACAAGATATCTGTACAATCCTTTTTGAAAATGTTCTTGAATTTGATTGTTATGTCAGTAAAAAACGATTTGAGATTGGTTAGTTGTTTTAAGACGCATAGCGAGAAAGTCTGACATAGTCTTCTTATCACGTGGCCATATATTGGCCACCTGTCGCTCGAGAACATAATAATTTAGTGAGTTGCGTGAATTTTAATATTTGATTTTTGAATAATAAATCGGTAGACGATATGCCGACCAATTTAATTACCTAAGAATGAACATAGATGGTTTGAATTAATTTTGTTGTTAAATATGTTTGGTTTATTTACAAAGTTAACTATTTACAAGCTAACATTTTTGAATTTAATCGAGCCCCTAAAACAATTAAACTAATCATTTATTTTAAACAAAAAGAATTCTAAATTAACTAACTAATGGTCTAAGCAAATAATTAATAAATTTTGGAACCAAATGTGCTAACTAGGTAATTGAAGGTGTGGGTTATTACGAATCAGAGCATAGACTCTAAAGCTCATCTGAATGTTAATTAGTATTGTCATAAATTAAATAAGTGATATAAAAATAGATAAATGGAAAAACAAACAGAGGCCTTTCTCCCTTACGTCACTTGCATTCATATGTTCTGTTTCTACATTATTTGATTTTTCATAATGAAAGACCATCAACCGAACAAGGACACGCGGCATTGAAAAATAAATATAATGATAAAAATTAGAAAAAAAACACTAAAGCACCGAGAAGACAACACTTAAACCAAGTCCTCTTTCTTGTACCCTATTTCACTTTCATCCACATATTCTCCTTACCCATTTTTGAAAACCAAAGAAAACACAAACAATCAAATGATAAAAAAAGCCAGATCTACAAGCCCAAGATATAGTCAACATGGATTAACACAAGGGAAAAAATGTTGCAATCAGAACCTGGTGCGCAAGCAGGTTGATGGGCTTCGCTTGTCCGTGGTGGCTGAGATTCACGCCGGCGAGGGTGTGCAGCGATGAATCAGAATCGCGGTGTCCAGCAAATTGCGAGGCGGTGGTCGAAGGTGTCCGTGGGTTGTGAGCGGAAAAGACAACCAAATCTTCTTCTTCTTTCTCGGTATCTTTTTGCTCGACAATCAGCAAGGAATATTAGTAGCGTAAATTGGAGTCCTTTCTTTATTCTTATGACCTGCTTTCTTTTTTCTCCTTGTTTCTACTGTAAGTTCAACCTTTTATAGCGATTTCAAACTTTATCAAAATAGGAAGAACATTTATCTGTCTGCAATTTTAATTCTTGGGATTAATTTGGTTTTTTTTTAATTAGGCAATTTCTGAATGTTGTTGTAGATTGCAGTAGATTATTCCCTTTCTGTAACTTATTTCCATTATGTATTGGACCGTTTTGTTTTAACTCTGTATTAAACTTGTTTCTGTATTTAGCAAATTTCCAATATTGCTTCTGGAATTGTATATTCGTATTGATGGAGATCCGATTATGTCTTGCTATGGATTTCAATTCCCTTCACATTCTTGATTCGCATTGTACCGTGATATCAGTCCCTTAATCAAAACAATAAATGACGTTGGCTTGCTCGTTTTTTTTAAATTGGGCTATGAGATATGGGCTTCGATTTGTTCTCCCTTTTTTTATTTACTGAGCCAGACGTTTCTTCTACTAGGGCCCATGATCTGTTTTGTAACAACATCTATATATTTTTTTTTAAACCCAGATTGGAACTGGGTCTCTATTTTATCCGTCAATGCCTTTTTTTACATGAAAAAAGGTCCTTTTAATTAAAAAAATAAGTATTGTTAATAATAATAACAATGATTATGAAACCGATTAAAATATTCACTAATAAAGAATTATCATAACCAGATTTTGATTAAAATAATGACATAATTATAATAATAATGATAATAACATCAATAGTATTAATAATAGTTATAGACTTAAAGTCAGATATTGACTTTAGTTTAATTAATACAATAAAAATAATTTTAACAACATAATTTAGTTATATATCTACAAAAATATTAATATGAACTATAATACCGATTTATTATACAACAAATAATGATAATAGCAACAAATATTTAAAAAAAAATTGGGCTTCAAACCCCCTTGTTGGGCCATAGAATTAATTCAGATTTTGTAAAGCCCGTACACCCGTTCTTCTTATAATACACCCCTCTCCATTGTTTTTTTTTATTTAAAATCCCTCCTCAAAATGACGAGACCTAAATCAGCAAACTTACACAATGTAACCTAATTATTCGATAGGTCAAATTTGGGATATGACATAGTTAGGCAAAAATCATGGATAACAAATCAAAAAGAGGTCACTACAAATCCTCAACAACATGAAAAAAGGTTGCAAAAAAAATGACTGCTTCCGACAAACATAACCTGTCTGAACCATCACCAATACGTCATTCCAGACCCGATTGGAGTTCGAACGTACAATTAACTGAGTTTAGGACTGAAGAACGTCACGAAGAGCGGATGGGTACAAATACACTTTGAGCCTTTATCCTTTGTTTCTTAAACCGTGAATCGAGCCACGTTACAACCCTTCAAAAGTCCTAATTGAAGCATGGGTTAGTTCGAAAGCATACTGTTACAAAAGGTATCCTGACTCCTGTAAGGCTTTACTCAAAATCCAAAGTTAAATTACAAACTTCTTTATTTGCTAAAAACATAATTTTCAAAATTTCAAGACAAGCATAAACTTTGCATTACTTGAATATCATTGTTTGCATACGTCTATTTGATTGACAGCGGAGAAATTCACACAACGAATATCCAGTGAACGAAAGCTCTCTTAGTGAACAAAATCACTTCAAGTGGATGACATTTCCAATGATAAATCTCCTATCAACAAGGGGGTACGACATGTCACTATCCAGCACACTTAGGGCATTCCAGTCAAGATTCCAAAAAATCTCTCAAGAAGTACAGAATAACCAGGGGCAAGTCTCCATCTCCATTACTTGGGGCATTGAACGTCAATCTCAGCAAAGGGTTACGTACAGTCAAACATTTTTTGGCAATTCCACAAACATTTGCTGCTAGGGGCAAGGACAAGTATCCCCAAAATACTTCTCATAGGATGACTCCCAGTCAGAGTTTCAATCTCTGAAAACCTTTCCCCAATGAAGTTGCCCAAAAAATCTCTCTGCATAAGACAATCCCTGGCCAAAGTCTCGACCTCTTGGTCGCTTTTTCCCCAGCTAAGTCAATTTTTACAGATTGAAGCCTCAGGGATCTTTTCCTAAAGGAAATTCACTTCCTCAATCGGGTTTATTTCCCCAGCCAAGTGCAAATTCCTCAACATACAACAATCAAGACACCACAAATTGCCCAGATGAGCCCATCTTCCCCAGCTGAGTATATCTTCTCCATTCAAGGCTATTATCTCCAAACAGAATCTATCCTCCTCAGATGAGCCCATCATCCCCGGCTGAGCCCATCATCCCTAGTTAGATGTATCCTCCCCAAGCTGAGTCTGCCTTACCCGACCGAGTCTATACTCTCCAGTTGAATTTCCCTTTCAAATTACTGTAAATCACAGGGCCACAACCCCTAATCGTAGTAAATTCGTCAGCAAAGTCTTTACTATTTCCAAAAGATACTATGAAGCCTGGATCCGACCAGATATTAGCACAATTTTCAAGTTATTACTAAAGCCTGAACCCGACCAGATAAAAGTTTGAGTTACTGAAGCCTAGACCCGACCAAATAACAGTTTGACTTCTTCGATTACTGAAACCTGGACCCGACCAGATAACAGTTTGAATTACTGAATCTTGGACCCGACCAGATAACAGTTTGACTTCATCGATTACTGAAACCTGGATCCGGCCAGATAAAAGTTTGAGTTACTGAAGCCTGGACCCGACCAAATAACATTTTGACTTCTTCGATTACTAAAACCTGGACCCGACCAGATAACAGTTTGAGTTACTGAATCCTGGACCCGACCAGATAACAATTTGACTTCTTCGATTAATGAAACCTGGACCCGACCAGATAACAGTATGAGTTACTGAAGCCAGGACCCGACCAAATAACAGTTTGACTTCTTCGATTACTGAAACCTGAACCCGACCAGATAACAATTTGAGTTACTGAATCCTGGACCCGACCAAATAACAGTTTGACTTCTTCGATTACTGAAACCTGGACCCGACCAGATAACAGTTTGAGTTACTGAATCCTGGACCCGACCAAATAACAGTTTGACTTCTTCGATTACTGAAACCTGGACCTGACCAGATAACAGTTTGAGTTACTGAATCCTGGACCCGACCAGATAACAATTTTACTTCTTCAATTAATGAAACTTGGACCCGACCAGATAACAGTTTGAGTTACTGAATCCAGGACCCGACCAGATAACAATTTGACTTCTTCGATTAATGAAACCTGGACCCGACCAGATAACAGTTTAAGTTACTGAAGCCTGGACCCGACCAGATAACAGTTTGACTTCTTCAATTACTGAAACCCGGACCCGATCAGATAACAGTTTGAGTTATTAAATCCTGGACCCGACCAGATAACAGTTTGACTTCTTCGATTACTAAAACCTGGACCCGACCAGATAACAGTTTGAGTTACTAAATCCTGGACCTGACCAAATAACAGTTTGACTTCTTCGATTACTGAAACCTGGACCCGACCAGATAACAGTTTGAGTTACTGAAGCCTGGACCCGACCAGATAACAGTTTGACTTCTTCGATTACTGAAATCTGGACCCGACCAGATAACAATTTGAGTTACTGAATCCTGTGTTAGAACAATGTTTGAATCTAGTACCCTATATTTAAGTTTTGATGATAACAAAGTGAAAAGATATAGTATTTATATGTTTCATGTTTGAACTATATGCTGCCTAAAATTACTATGCTCTGACTTGCAGATACGCTGATTAAAATAAGCAAGATCACTTCTTCAGCATCAGAATTTGATTTCATACATCAGCATCAGAAGTTGCTGAATCAGAACGTCAAGATCAGATGATCAACTCTTGTACATGCTGAAGCTTGATGAACAGAACTGCGCGTAAAACACTCTGATACAGAAACACATTAGTTCATCAGCAGCGAAGCAGAATCAGAATGAGCCAAGCCAGAACGTGCATTGAAGAAGCAACGGTACTGTGCATTGAACGCTAATTAATTCCAACGGCATCATTCTAGACAAGATCTGCTCAAAAAGGAAAGCTTGTTATTAGCATTGAATCAAGAATATTGCATTCAACGTTCATCTTCTCAAGTGCTATATAAACAAGGCTTCGAAGATTATAATGGCTAATGCTCTCCAATTCTCTACACGCACAAAGCTGAACAATAATCTTCATCTACCAGTTTTGCTAAACCTCAAACTCTGATACTCCATTAGTGTTTAGCAATCTAAGTTTCTAAGCTTCATTTGTGTATACATCACAGTTGTGATAAAGTTTTGTAGAAAACATTCACACACATTGTTTTATACCTTTGTAAGAAAGTGTTGCCTTGACAAACCGGATTGTGGTTTGAATCAAGAAGGCTTTAGCAGTTGTTAAAGCAGTCTGTAATATTCAGTTGAATATAGTGAATTAAGACCTCGTTGGAGAGAGGCGAAATCACCTTGACGGGTGGACTGGAGTAGTTTGAGATCAAACGAACCAGGATAAAAATATCTTGTCAATTGCTTTAAGATTTCAGTTTTACAATTCAACCCCCCCTTCTTGTGTTTTTCACCCCTTCAATTGGCATCAGAGCGCCTGGTTCTGAGCTAAAACACTTAACCGTGTCAGTACAAGATCCAGCGTCAGAAAAACACAATGGCAGGAAACAACTCTCATTTCAGCAATGACAACAATGAGGACAGAGACAGATTCAGCGGCAAACCTCCAGTCTTTGATGGAGAAAACTTTAATTACTGGAAAGACAGAATTGAAAGCTTCTTTCTAGCACATGATGCTGATCTGTGGGATATGGTGACAGATGGATACACGCACCCTGTGAATGCAACTGGTCAGAAGATTGAAAGAAAATCAATGACTGATCAACAAAAGCGTGATTTCAAGAATCACCATAAGGCCAGAACCATCCTCCTCAGTGCCATCTCCTATACTGAGTATGAAAAGATCTCCAACAGAGACACAGCTAAGAACATCTTTGATTCTCTCAGAATGACGCATGAGGGCAACGTTCAAGTCAAAGAAACAAAAGCTCTGGCGCTCATTCAGAAGTATGAGGCGTTCAAAATGGAAGAATCTGAATCCATTGAAACTATGTTCTCCAGATTCCAGATTCTGGTAGCTGGTCTCAAAGTTTTGGACAAAGGATACTCTACTGCTGACCATGTCAAGAAGATAATCAGAAGTTTACCCAAGCAGTGGAGGCCTATGGTTACTGCTCTGAAGCTAGCGAAGGATCTCAACAAAATCACTCTGGAGGAACTTATAAGCTCCCTCAGAAGTCATGAGATAGAGCTAGAAGCTGACGAGCCTCAGAAGCAAGGTAAGCCTTTAGCTTTAAAATCTAACAGAAAATCTGAATCTAAAGTTTTG